CTGTAAGTTTTATTCGATATTCACGCCATCTTCAAATTATTACTTAACAAATATAGCCTGCATCATGATTTGGCTAAGGTTCTATTGGCTACATTGAAATATAGAATTGGGAACATTTACCAGACAGGAGGAAATATCAAATACGGCAGATAAAGAATATAATTACAGTATGTTTATTCAAGACCCTGTCAACAATTACTGCTACAGGTTGACGTAATTTAATGATAGTGCGAAGCACTCCATACCTTTTTAGAAAGGTTAAACCTGTTCGATAGCTTAAGGTAGATTCTCGAATGCCATGGAATAAATGAATAAGTTTGCACATTGTAACTCAAGACCGAAAGACTAATCATAAATAAGAAAGAACTAAATTAAATCCAGAACAACAGTTAAAAACACATATAATTGTTACAAATATTAATCTTTCTTTGAAATCTTTAACTAATTAAACTTTTTATATGTTTATTTTTCTAACAAGTAAAATGCCAAAGGAGGAAATGCTAGTTTTAACCGAGTTTGAAAACATATATAATGTCATTTGTTAGCAGTAATTGGCGTTATAGACTCCAACTAAGTAAAGCTTAAAAACAAATTGTCCTTTTATATCTGTAGGCAAATGTTCAAAATCGAATTAATGTTGCTTAAATCTTTGAATGAGACAAGCAAAACAAGATTGTTTTTTTTACTATCATGACCCCATTAGAGAAAATAAAACAAATATAAAACTGTATGATTGGTTACTGTTACTGAAAATAATGAAGTTGTCACTACTTACATTTGTACATCGAGTCTAAATATACCGCTGCAGTCTTTAATATGTCCTTAATGACAATCATGGCTACACGTGCATACAACAAAGGAGTCTATAATATGTCCTGATTGACAATCATGGCTACACGTGCATACAACATAGGATCAAGCATCATGCAGTAGTTGGTTAATTGTTTATTTGGAAAAAATTGAACAATGTTACTTTATCATTACCATACATCATCATGTATCACCATTGCAATGAAGTAATATACATGTATCACCATTGCAATGAAGTAATATACATGTATCACCATTGCTATGAAGTAATATACATGTATCACCATTGCAATGAAGTAATATACACAAAAAACAAACCGTTGAATGACCCCCTGTTCACACGCATGCTAGGTTTAAATCGGATATTATGAAATCCGATGTATATCTGGATTTCTCATATCTGAATCTGAATCCAGTTTGCGATCACGTGATTCTATAATGTATAGTTGTGATTTGAATATTCATGCACGTGAATTTCTAGCGCCAAAAAAAAGTAAACAAGTTAGTATGAGCACTGATATATTCTGTATTATAATATTCATTTGCGTTATCAATATTTATTCTAGACTTAAATAATATGCTATTTGAAATCGGATGTCAAACTACCTACCTCTGGAGGTTTGACTGCGGATTCATAAATACGCATTTAATCTGGAATTTGTGTGAATGCAAACTGGTATGGTTGTCAAATCGATTTTGTTGTGTCGTGTGAATGGAGTATAATTGGTTGCGGGTAGTGCAAGTGGCAATATGATTGTAACTTCATCTTGTATTGAATTTCATATTTACCACTGAAAACTTGTTAATAAATTTAAGTCAATTAAAAGAAATAAAAACGATTGAAAAATGCATCATTGACAGTAACATTACTTTTACTGTGTTGTTCTGGGATACGTTTAATATCTGAAAACGGAACTTTATTTAATTACATTTGTAAACAAGATGAGCTGCGAAACTGTATCAGAAATAAAATCAAATTTGAATACATTTGCTGAATGTAAGGAAATAGTCTATTGCTTTAGTTATACGTTAATTAATTTATTTTGTATATGGAAAAAATACTCATAAAACATGGTCAATAAATTTACAAGCCGTAGCTCAATAAACACTAAACCGCGTTAAAAATATAGAAATTGATATGCTGACTCTACTATTAATTTTTGTCAGTAACGACATGTCATTGTTACTTGAAATGCTACACTAAGTGTCATCTGGTTATGCTGTGTTATACGTGTTTAGTTCCTTCATTGTTCTACTTCCTGTTGTCCGAAGATTTCAAGAACATATATAAATGTTCGACACATTTTCTCAGGAACTACAAGTCATAGCTTCTTGGGACATGTCACGAAACGTCATCTGGTTATGCCTGGTAATAACATTTTCAATTCTTTCGATGTCTTACTTTCTGTTTTATGAAAACTAGCATGGGTATACTAAGTACTTCTGGGGGGGGGGGGGGAGTTAACGACCTTGACTACCCATGAGGGTCTCGCACTGTCGGTACTATAAAAACGGTAAGCAATTAGCAATAATGCATAATACAGCTTCAGGACGGGACAAGAAATTTTAAAAATATTTGCTTAGGTACTAAGTCTTTCTTGAATTATTCCATTGTACTAAAACTAAGATTACAGGCACTGCTTACTGTTCCGGAGCACCTAAGTACACCCAATGTTTTGTTGGAGCCGTACTGCTCAATCTTTAGTGGTCTGTGGACGGTTCACGGTTATGTTTAGATAGTTTTAGGTTGTCCTTGTTCTCAAACGTTTTTTTTTATTGGCTTTCAGTTTTCAGTTCGAGCATGCCTATTCTAGAAACAAATGTCTAGCCAACGAAAATCAGTATATACTTCTAGGTTATTCAATTTTGGTATGAAACATTTAAAATAATTGAAAGATATGAAATCATTCATCTAAAAAAAAAATCTGTTAAAAATATCACGTGACGTAAAAAACCCAGACACTCATAATGAAACCAATACATTTCACAACATATTCTGCCTTCATTGTTTGACATATGAAATGGTTTTTACTCTTCATAAGGAAATTGAAACTATTTCTAAATATGAACAACAGGAAAGTCTCATTTCCCTAGGTAATTGTTCTAATTGAAAATAATAAAAATTAAATGGATATTAGGGCTACATTGATTGAAAAATTGATTCAACTGTTTAAATAAAACCCTAACCGTTTGAACGTAAATAATATTTCTGTTTTCTTAGTCTGTTGAATTGTGGGATCATTTGATTATCATTTATAATAACTATTTGTTTGTTTTTTGGATGATGGGTTTGACATAGAAGTAGAGTAACGATGTAATTTGCGATTAAAATGGAAGGATTTGTTGTAATCCCGCTGAAATATTATCTTTGATGAGACTCAGTGAGATTTAGTCTTCAAAACGAAAGTCCTGTGGTCAGCTTCAACATCACATTTAATAGCATTCGAGAACTTTTGATCTCGACAGTATACATGCTGACATATTCAGATTCGCCAAAAAATTCATTTGTTCATTTAACTGGATGCCTAGTTATCATTTGAGACAAAGTAGGAAACTTAGCAGGTTTGATTTGAATGTCAGCAGAGCTTTTTATTTTGAAGGTGACCTTATATGTCGTAGGATGAATACATAGGGGTCTACCAAAATTTACGTCTTGTATGGTTCCGAGGTTTGCCGAGGAAACCCGATTTTTACAGAAATAGAAAAAATGTTTAATTCTTTAACGACCACGTGATCAATCATGGTGCAGAATCCTTAAAAAACACTGAACGTTTACATTGGCTGTATACAATTTAATTATACTTGTGAGGCAGCACAGGGAATACATCATAAATTGCTATATTCATACATTGTGTAGTTGACAAAAATTAAAACAAATCTTTTAAAAAGAAAAAAAACTTCAATTAGGATAAAAATTGCAAGTTGAATAATTTATCGAGAAATGTTTGAAACTGGATACTTATTGATTAAAAAAAATTATACTTGAGATGACACGTTAAAAAAGTCGGATAAATATGGTGATCCATCCGGCGTTTTCAAAATAGCTTGGAATCTCGGGCAAAGACTGAAAATATATTTGTGAGTAAGACACAGAAATGTAAATTTGATACAACGCAGTTATAGTTATAGTTAATTAATTCAGACGCCGTTTAACCCTAAAAAATTAAGCACTTAAAATTAAAACGATATATGAATTTTTTTACGGAATAATATTGACAACGTTTGTATTTGTGCTACATAGCATCTACTTTCTACAAGAAAAATCTTTATGCCAAATTGAACTACAATATTACTCAAAAGAAATATACTGGAGTTTCATTGTCTCGGAGCCAAGTACTTTATTGCATTATGCTTCAGTGAATTTCCTTTCAATGTACAATGTTTCTTTTACGTGATTGAAACCAGGATGAAGATTGCATTTTAAATTCTAAGACTTTGAAAGTTCTAGACGTCTATATTTACTTTACACAGGAAAATCAAATTTGGAATAATTGAAATTGCAATCGTTGAAAAGGGACGAGTCTTTTTTGTCAATAGGAAGGCGTACTCGATTGCACACATTGGTGATCCAAATACTGGTGCATTCATACATGCTGATAGTTGTCACACCTCTGGAAATTGCAATCATTGCAAAAAAGCTTTTTATCAGTAAAAGTGGGAAACAGTTGACTATGTGCTTATAACAGCGGTGCCAGAATGCAGATAGTTTATGTTTTTGCCTCGCAGCTGTCTCTGAGGAAGATGCTGAACTAAAAAAAGATTCTGACATTTCTTGATCTGTTTTCGTTTCATTTGAGTCAATAGTTGAAGTGTTGTATAACATTCACTTGCATAATTAAGTGTACTCGAATGATTGTTTTGGGAGTACGAATATAAACATTGTTCAATACGAATGAACTATTTTGAATCATTTGCGTCTTTTTTTTCTCCCCCATTTCGTCAGATAATAATACTAGCCAAGAATTTTGTCAACAGTATTAAAATTCACATAGAAACACCTTGCTCGACAATTACCAAACAGAAGTGTTTAAATAAAAAGTAGCCAAGCTCTTTGAAAATCTTAATTTGTTTTTTTTTCATCTGCAGCAATAGTGAAACAAAGAAAAAAATACACGACACAAATATTTATATAAGGTTTGGATAAAAAGTGAAACGTTATTGTTATTTGTCTTTATGGATAAAAAGAAATTGTAATTAATTTTGCAAAGCAACAGTTGGTGATTAACATTTACTGGCAAATTACTGAAATATCTTTTTCAACATCAGTTATAGTGAAATATAGAAAAAGCCTATTTCCGCAATTATCTATAAAATGTGTTTATTTAAAAAACCGAAGTGTTCATATTTATGCCGATGTGGGTAGACAGAAATTATAACCCATCTTGCAAGGCAACAGTTGGACATGGCATATTGAACCAATGTTATATGATAAAAAGTTTTAGTTATTGATAAAAGTATAAACCTAGGATTCAAGTATTTATTAAAGTGACAGGAGTAGATCGTCTTTGACATAAAATCGTGTAAGATAAATAATATCTATTATAGTTATTGCATGTGTCGGGATAAAAGCGTATCGTGTACATTGTATGAAAGAAGATATTTATTGCAACAGTCGGGATTTAATAGTATATTGCATATCAAACCATTTACTTGGCTCGAATTTTGAGGTTTGCATCTTAATTGCTGAATGAATTTCACAAACTACTTTGCATTTACAACCCGAAACCTGTGACAATTTCATACAGGAATAAACGCATCAAAATTGAAGTGGCACGAATTTACAATAAGGAAGAAATTGTGGTCTACAAATGAATTTGATTTTGAAACGTTATAGATAAAGATAGCATCTCACCTTTAAAGTGTTAAAACAAAAAAAATCAATGACATAAAAGAGAGTGGTACCATGTGACGTGATATGAACATTCAGATGTAAAATTTCAAACATGAGCGTGAATATAAGTAAAAAATGCGAACTGTTTATTAGACAGGAAGTAGCTAAGAGTATTTGATATAGGTAATATATAGCTATTAAATACCATCTTAATGTTGATCTTTAGTGGTATATGTTGAATACAAGTACAAGTATTTTCCCCACAATCAATACTTTATAATACTGTATAATGGTAGTTTTCTTACACAAAAAACAAATGTATGCTTACATAACTTAAGCAAACTTAATTTGACACCGAGGGGGTGACGAATTTGTGGTTAATTAAATACTTCGACCGATGATTATTCTATACACGTTTTATTTGTGAAAAACCTATTCATGTATCCTCTGCACTTTTCGTCAACTTAGAAAACAATAGAGATTGATTACCAGTAGTCAATAAAACAAAGTGTACAACAAACGAAACAAGTTAAACGATACATCGATTAATCTTTATAGAGTCAAATGATAGTAACAAATACTCAAACGTGATCCAAGTTTCACCTTTGCAGAAAAATAACACTGTGTAAATATTTTCACCTTTACACAAAAATAGCACCGTGTAAATATTTGACTTTTGCAATCTACTCATTAAAAAATCGTCGTCATTCTTGTGTTTTAATGAATATGATCTTTGCTTGATAAGATAAACACTTACGTTATCCACCAACGTGTAAGTCAGTATAGAAAAGCACCGTTAATCATACGACACAGAAATTGGATTTGCTAAACTCTTAGTTAACTTTGGATCAGTGACTTTCTATTTACTCAGAAAACCATGTGTATACTTTTTATTAACCGACGTACAATATGAACTGTTTGAATATACATTGACAGTAAAACATGGCGAGATTTACAGTGATAATTGTTGACATTTTGTTTAACACCTATCTATAACCGCTACTTGAATTAAAGAAGAATTCTTCATACATAACGACAGGAAAATTTCTGTGATTTTTATATTATAGTGAATGGAATTATTATCAATTTATTAAATTGTACTGATAGGAATGTACTTTCATAGTTTCGTTCAATTCATTTTTTAAGATTCAGTTATTTTATAGTGTATAAATAACAAAATGTGCGATTTTTTTCTGGTAAACTTAATCATTAAAAAAAACATATTCTAAATGCATTCCATAATATGGTTCAATACTATCGCATTCTTGGAATATTCAGTGGCAGGACAAAAACACTATTCCGTTATAGATGCCATTATGTTGTGATATAGTAAACTACAACCAAATTACGATAATTTTGGATTATTATTTCATGAAATGGATAAATATAGTCGCAGTGATGAAATACTCAATGACTGATCAAGTGAATATATTTATCATATTACCGTAACACTGCAGTCCGATTCACATCTGGCAAAACCCAGTCTGTGCATTTATAAATGAATGTAATATTTGTATTTTTCTCAGTTACTTAGATGAACAAAGAGGTGGAGTTTAACGTCTGCACATTAGTAAGCGGACACAACAAACCTAGATATGTAAACAGCAAAATGCTTGAATGTTTCTTTCTAAAATAATTTTCCAGGACTTTGAGTTTCTTTTTGTGTTTGTAAAAGGCTATATTCATTTAAGATTATTGGAATAGAAGAGCGATTAGTTCTTTCTCAGTAAGCATTTAATTGCGAATAATCCATCATTCTTTTACCGAAATTGAGCTGAGTTTAGTTTTCCATTAAGACAACGGTCATTCATAAGCGTTTACTTGTAATAGTTTATGCGCTGATATAAACGTTTTAAGGACGTTGTTTTTGATGGTTTCGTCAAGCATGTAAAATAAGTGGAATGAATAAACGGAGTATAGTCTCGGTGAAGTAAGTTTTAGATATTTAATTGATTGACACGGATACGTCTTCAATATAAAAAATAAAGTTTATGCATTATATTTACAAATTGTCAAGTGCATTTTAAACTATAACAATTGTTCAGTTGTGAAAAGGGGAAAAATACGAGTAGCTATAAAATTGTTTGAAGAGGAAGAAGATAAAATTTCACCGTAACATAAAAAGATCAAGGATCAAATTATTATCATGTGGAGTGCTGTAATAGTGTTGGATTTAATTTGTGTTTGTATTCTTTTTGACGGAGTAATGTCAATAACAACTATAAATTTAACTATAATGGTACCGACTTATCCGGAATCTCGATTATTTTCTAATATAAAAATTAGACCAGCTATTGAAATTGGAATAGAAAAAGTTCAAAGTAAAAATTATTTACCATTTATTGAAATAAACGAAACTTATGTTGATACGGAATGTAACGCGGTGATTGCCCCATTAGAAGCATTTCGAGCGATGAGTACCGGAACTAACGTATTTTTCGGACCCGTTTGCGACTACAGTTTATCGCCGGTTGCACGTTATGCTCCATTTTGGAAAATTCCTATCATAAGTACCGGAGGGTTTGCAGATGATTTCAAGATAAATCGCAGGAATGAATACCCGACTCTTACACGAATTATGCCGGCAAGCTTTGATTCTGTTGCAATTGCAACATTACGATACATAGACAAATTAAAGTGGAGAAAAGTCTTTCTCATCACAGAACGTACTGATGTCGGAATAATGTTAGGGTATTGGTTTTTACTTGGATCTACTATTGTTAGCCGGTTAAGGTTAAAACCCATAAGTAATAACTCAAAGGAGACGTTTACGTATGACAAACATCTATATGATAAGACGGAGTCTAACAGTATAGAACGAGTTCTTCCGGAAAAGATTGGAAATAAATATGCAAGTAAGTGTAACATGTAGAAAAGAACAAGCAAGTGTAACATGTAGAAAAGCACCATCATATTAAAGTCCTAGTCTGTATTAAAACAACCCAAACCCCAAATATCTGGCAAAAAGGGGGAAAGCACTTATGAACCTGGAAGTACTTATACCGACGGTCTTTCAAGATACCATCAGTTAAAACAAAAACATGGACATTCAGCACAAATTATCTATTCGTCATTTTTATTATATTTTTAACATTTTAATACATTTTTTAATTGAAAAAAGTAACCCTCGATGCATTTTCATTAGATACCAATACCCTACAAATTGAATTGAAATATATCTGTCCAATTTTGTTTCATATGAATTATTCTACCACTTGATGGATGTGTTATAGTCCAGAGTAGAATTTCTACTTTTCTCCTACAAAGCTTTCTTTTGACACCTCTGCGATGCCGAGTTTTTAATTAACAGTAGGTTCGTGCTTCATACTAGAATTTAGAAAACTTATTGTTTCCATTTTAAAGGCCAGTTGTCCCCATAAATTTTTTTTACCAAAAACTTTGACCAGGTAAATTTGTCCAAGTCATCACTTGCAACTATTAAGTTTTTTCATCAAAAACTTTGTCAAAGAAAAAAACTGCACTGTGATTGGATAATTCCCGTCAAAGTCCATTCAAGTTTCAAGAAAAGTAGGATGAGATTCTATTCCACCCAAGTACGTCAAAGTTTTTGATCAAAGTTTTCTTTGACGTTTGTCACTATAAAAAATCCACCAAAAACTTTGACCAAGAAAACTTGTACCAGAAAACTTTGATAGTGACAACTGGTCCTAAGAAGCAAATCAAAAGATCATGCAACTCGTTTACAACCGCCTAATGGATTAATATGTAAGAGATGTCTCCCTCTAAATTATTCAATTATTAACAAGGAATGTTTATTTCGTGTCAGAATGGAGATCTTTGTTGTATAGTTTTAAAGTAGTACATTGAATGACAATTTTGTTGTTTTCAAGTAAAATCATGATAAAGCAGGTTCTCTGATCGTATTCTAAACAATTGAATTGAACAAACTGTTTGATTTATATAGAATTAACAACCGTATACCATTAAACATTCGGTTAATGCTGCACTACATACAAGTTTAAATGCAGTGAAAAGTATCGTATTAAGATATAGTCATAAAACATATATAAAAATGAAGATATATTCATCTAATCTCATTCATATAAAGTATTTAAATGCCTGAACTCTTATCTCATGTTCTCCAAGGTCGTAAATATCTCCAGACAAATTAAATATCATTTTATCCCTTAACTCTATTTGTAGTAAAATCTACAAGTATGGTTTCTGACAAAAAATAAATACTAACGATATAAATTACAATTATTTTCGTGACAAAAATTAAAATCAATATAATGGAAACATTCTTGCATAACAAACGTGTTAAAGAATCTGAAATCATATAATAATAATGAAAGGAGTAGGTCCGGTAAGGGCCGATTTTGGCCCCAAATTTCAGGTTCATCTGATGAAAGATTTTGGACACTTTTTAAACAATTAAGTGTCTGCTTTAGTAGATTCAATTAATTTATGTGAAAGATTTGAACTGATTTAGTCATTAAAAACGCTCATATTCAAGCTTAAATATTAAAAATCCATCAAATATGCCAAAATATGTCACTTTTTAGATGTTTTTTGTCAAAAATGAAAGTGGCCGCATCCGTGTTCATCCTCAACCTTTATATATATTATGTATTATCATCAAATACAACTTACATTTAAATATTAAGAATGAACACAAATGCGGCCACATCCATTTAAGACGAAAACCGTCTAAAAATTAACTCAAATGCTAAAATTGTGAAGATTTCAGTAATTTCGCATGACTTAATGATGCTAGTACATGATACATGTGTATTGTATTGTCAAAAACAGCCCATATTTATGTAATAGAAGTATTCTTCTTTCCAATAAATAGCTAAAAGTTTACATTTGAACAATTTTGTAAAACTGCTTTATTTTGGGGCCAAAAAGGGGTCTTACTGAACCTACTCCTTTGCAAAGTACACCCATATGGGTCAAGCAAAACACAAAATGTAACACTCGTTATTGTGTATTTTCGTCATATTTACGACAATTGAAAGTCAAACAAAAGACCCCTCACGTAGATCAATATCGATATAATCACTGATTAAGACAAAATTATTATTCACATATATATGAACGAAAACCATAGTAAATACACGAGGGTTTTGATATGGGTCTTCAATTCAACTTTTGTACAAATAATAGGTATACACAAATTGTCCCCTTTTTTGGGGTGATAGATACTATCATAATTATATTGTTTACATAATTATATTGTATACGTTCCGTTCGGTATCTTCTTCGCGGTTCGCATCTAAGCAAAGCCAATTTCTTTTATCAATTCTCAAAACATTGACTTGTAAATTGTCGGAAAATAGATTGATTGATTGATAGTTGCTTGCTTAACGTCCGGTGGCAAATATTTCATGCATATTCAGGACGATCGGAAAATAGAAAATTTAGTGGAACTCGTTAGTAAAGAAAGAGAAGCTTGACCATTGCAGTATTGCGGTCTCTTCCTATTTTCTAAAGATACAATGTAATATACAAATAAATAACAAAATTTCCTACAATACACGTACGTTGGTTATATATTTATTGATAATGTTGTTATTTTCAAACATAATTATGACAAAAGAAATTGATTTATGTCAGCAAACTAAGAAATAATGAATTTACTCGACAGTCTTTATACCAATTCTGTAATTGAGCCTGTAATTATAGATCCATTTGTACGGGTTGTTTCCCTTAGGAGGCACATATATTTTTAATGACGATTAAGAGCTAGCGGAGGGAGCAAAATTATCTGTGCATAGTAATCTTTAAATAAGATTTCTAATTTTTTAATTACATTTTATCTTTTAATCGTTAAGCTTAAAACATTTGATATGTATCAATAGTTATTTTTCATTAAATATTGTTTAAAACGATTATATATCTCTTTTAAGTTATCATGCTTTCCATGGGCAGCGTCCGTTTTGTCCGGTTAGGAGCGAGTCTACAAGTGACAAAGGGAACTTGACAAATTGTGTTAAAAGTGTGTTATAATAGAATTAAATGGGTAATTGGCAAATAGACTTTTACTTGACTTATTTTTAAAGCTGTCTCTATAGTCGTCGAAAATCATAATTGATTGACTTGACGACATTGCATCAGTTTATATTTTGTATCAGTAGAAATAAAGTACATTTAGTCTTTTATGTAGAAAGATGTTAAAATATTAAAGTTAAAAACATCAATAACTACGGAAGCCGGTTAGTGTCAGGATGGAGTTTTATCTTTAAGTCGTTATAACGACTTTAAAATAAAACTCCACCCTGACACTTATCGGCTTCCGTAAATAACAGAGGTTAAAAATAATAAATGTCGAATTTTGAAAACAGACTGTATTCCAAGATGTCATTAAGTATAATAGTATAGCCTGCATTTAACATGCTTTAACATAAAATAAAATTAATTACTGAATGACCGCTTCCTAAATTAATGATTCAGAAATAACTTATTTTGCATTAATTAATCATAATATCTTAGTGTTGAATATGTTGTTTATTAAGCTTAGAAATGATTATCTAACAGTTCTCAATTATAACCACATAGTTAATACAAGTCTTTTATGACTTAATACAAATAATATATATATCTTAATTTGCTTCTGTAGTTGGCGATGATACCAGATGGTCTCCCCCAATTGTACTATCTTATGGAGCTACCATCCTGACAAGGATGAAAAATTTTGTCCTGCCTTTTTTTTTAGTTGTAATCTCTGTCCTGCCTTTTTATTTTTCACACTATTCGGTCCTGCCTTTTTTTATTAGTTTATCCTGACTTTTTTTAACATAAATTGTCATCCTACCTTTTTTTTTGCAAAGTGTCTCATCCTGCCTTTTGTTTTTACTCAAAACTCCTGTCCTGCCTTTTTTTCAAAATTCATCCTAGCCCCCCATAAAAATCAAATGGTAGCTCCCTTAATATACTTAGCTTTTTAATTTTTTCCACAAACTGCTTTCATAAAAAAAAAAAATTAAACACAATTTTTTACATCTTGTTTATTATAACAATATTATAGGTTATAAGTATTTTGATATGATAACCTCACAGTAGGTTCACATGTTATTATTTTATTTGATTGGATTAGATTGTTGTTTTGCCCTGTAGAAATCTTACATAGATATCTAATATAACATATACTGTACATATATACACAGTTACTTCATGTGGTATTGTTTGAAATGATCTTATACTGAGATTTTATTCTTGGAAGGAACATAACCTTGGTGATGCCAAAATGATAAATTACTGTTGAAAAAGTTGGTAACGGTTCATTAAATGGGTATATATAGATTCTACCACTGCATCGAGTGTGATACGATATTTATCCACTCGAGACAGTTAAATATTTAAAATTCAACTGTCGAGAGTGGATAAATATCGTATTACACGAGCTTTGGTGGTGGAATCTGTTTCTCTAATGATTTTCAAACAATACGCAGGCAAATTTATTCCTTCTTTTCGAATGTGTTCTTTCTTTGTAATGTCATCAGGCATGGTCGCCTTTTTTCATGCCGTCACAATAGGAAATTCAGAGGAAAGCCAGAAAATTTGACGTCATAAACGGATTTTAACCAAATGACTGAAGAACTGAGATCAAACGAACCACATGTTGATTAAATTTGTTTTATACAATGGGTGTAGAAAGGGATAAATTGACGAAGAATTAGAGAAACATGCATATTATCGTATTTTCTAAAATCTACCATCTATCATTTTATTCAGATAGGTAAATGCTGTATCATCAACGTTCTCTTCACGTTGTTAGGTAAGAAGTTGGTTTATCTGAAAAGCCAATCATATTTGTAAGCTTGATTTTTCTAAGATCACTGAAAAATATTGCTTCTTTTCATGTTAATTTTATTTCTAATTTTAATTAAAA